ATTTTCGCCTCCATTGAAAATTCAGCTGCCGCAGCAGGGATTCCATCCGGTGCTCGGCTGCTGACCTGCGGGTCAGCAGCCGAGCACCTTAGCCACTAGACCACCGCGCCGGGGCAAAAGCAATTATTTCAACAGTTTCGGCCAGAGTGTGGCCTTCGTCAGGAATTAATAGAGCTCCATTGCCTGACGAAGGCCAGACTCTTGGTCAAAACTATCGAAGTAAATGCTTCGGTTGTTACCGTTGAGGATATACTTGACTGTTTGCAATGTTACCGACACTTTCGCCATCATGCTTGGCTATACATATATTGTTACGACTCGCACTGCTGTCGACACTGTTGCGTAGTGCGCCGAGGTCACAGGCTGCCAAGGTTGTTCCATAGCATGTTTTTAAGCTTGTGGCTGCTTCAGCGCAGAGCTGATAGACGAGTGGACAAGACGACGGTGAGTTAACGCAAGATTTATGTGCAGCAAAGAATAGAGGCATTACATATACGGCACTGAGGCCGACAACTTAGGGACTTTAAGAGCCAAGGTGTCTTCGGACACTCTAACGCTGTAGTCTTTTCTCTCACGTATACGTCGGCTGCTTAACGACGCGCCGCTTGGCTTTTTTTATATAGCCCCCGGGTGAACTCTTACGTCAGCAACGTCCAATCAGAAGCGCCGCTGGCCGTGGTGTTGGAATCCTCTAGTCAGGAACCCCCACTGGGTTGCACCCATAGACGAGTGATGTTGCCAAGCATTGCGTAAGACTCGCCAGACTGGATGGTGTCGATGGCATCATCGGGCTGCTATCGGGCCCATGGGTTGAGAGAGCACGCCATGCGTTGCGTAAGACACACCGGCGCCGCCGTTTCAGATGACATCATTAAGGTGATGGCGTCAGGCGGGCTCGCTCGCTGGCCTTGACACAGATTGCCTTTGCAGAGGCAATGACGTTCGGCCTGAACTCCAAGGCGTAACAGCACCCCCACTGCCAGACAATGCGCCGGAAAGACGAGCTGCTTCCCCGTGGTTCAGATGTCGAGCGCGCTCGTTCGCCAGGTCCCTCCAGGTTCGTCTCCAGGGCCATGAGAAAGATGTAGCTCTAGGCTCAGTTCTGTGAACACATCCCATTCTTGAGGACGGATCCCAGCTCCACTGGTTTGTCGCCAAAACTAGTCGACTAGCTTCGCTCGTCTCTTCTGACGATTTCTGGTCGCAGCACTTGTCGATGGTTCTGCAACTTGTCAAGAACGGTTCGACAACAGACAACACACGACACAAGCAAATGCCCTCGGTTACCCGACAGAACACCAGACACAATGTAGAACAATATATGCTTAGCTACGTGTCTACCCAAATTTCGTTCCCTTTACATCAAGAGGCACATGTGGCACACAAAACTCTTAAAGTGAGAACACAAATTTTTACGTGTACAACAGCGCATTAAAATAGAATACAACATAAAGTTGGCCCCTTGAGATCACTCTGGACGAGAGCGCTCAGCTAAGGCCGTGATGAGGACAAAATTTTGCCTCGACTCACAAGTGAAAGACCGAAAGGTGCAGAAGGTACCAACTAAAATGCACGGCTCAATGCGTCTGCATTAGCGTTTAGCTTTTCTTTCCACGCTGTGCTGTACGAGTATCATGCTCCACCTCAGTAACCGGCCACTTTTAGGCGCAATACTTATGCGGTACAAGGAGCTGCTCATACTTGCGACGTTGCACATCTGTGTAACTACAATATAGGAGTCCTGATTTCTCATAAAAAGAAACATTATTTTTCTTGGTTCCCAATTTTACGGTTTCCAGTAGCCATTTAATTGAGAAGTCCTGACGCTGATCTCGAATGAGCGTTGCTCAATCAACCCTCGACAGCTCACTCCAACTTTCTGCTACAGGCGAGAGCGCAACACCCCTCTCACTCCTACTCAATGGCGCCATGTCGTCTTCTCCGCCGAAAGAGAAAGCGCCAGTCACTTTGGCGACGGGCCGCTCAAGTGACTGACCCGGAGAATTTCCTGTGCGAGGTTTCGCCTACTCGCTGCCAAGGTCATGCAGATCAGCAGCTTTTGCAGGTAGTGTTTCACTACTTTGAACAAGGTCAAGTTCCTGCGAAAGCTTCCGTGCTTTCAATCGCGTGAGGGCCATGTAAGCTAAGTTGGAGAAGAACTATTTACCCTGCGTTTTGAGAAGTTGCTCAGAGTTATTCGAAAAAAGGTAAGGAAAACGATCGAGAAGCGCGGCAGACACAGCCGCTTCGGTGCAAAGCTTACCGAATGGGTCCTCAATGACAACCGTATCAATTAGTGAGCAAGCACTCTGCTCCTCGGCGACTTGCCTGATCTACGCGCACTCTCCTGTAAAGTCATCTGGAGACACAAACAACGGACGGACAACGTGAATGGTTGCCTCTGAGTCTCGAAGTGCTCGACTGTTTTCCCATTCACACTGATTTCCTGAAGATATGGCTCTAACAACCGCATGATTTTTTTTTCCGATTCTCTGATTGTTGCGAAAGCAAACTTTTGCTTACAGTTTACAGCGATGAACCCTTCCTTTTTGCAGTTGTAGCAGATTAGCAGCTTCCGTGATTCAAACGCACATGTGTTATCAGTGCGCTGTTTTTGAACTTCACTCGATTTCTGCGATCCCATTTGCCCTTCACCTACAGTGTCCTTCGTAAGAGACGGGTCGCTTCTGAAATTACAGTGGGGAGCGGGTTTTCGATCATCAGGTTTCTTTGAAAAGCCCTCTTTTCTTTTACCCTTTTGAATGCGCACTGCCCTGCAATGCAAGTTTTGGCGGGTATAGCACTCCTCAGCTGGCACTGCTCCCTTGTTTAGCTGTACTTCACCAAGCTTGCCCTGCAGCCAAAGCTTGACGTCATCTTCGATGCAGCGGTAGAATTTTTCAATGCAATGCATTCTATTACATTATCGCGACCGTCATAAACATCTTCACCCTTGAGCCATTGAATTAAATCGGCTTTAGGACGAAACGCGAAGTCAACGTGTGACTCATTGCCCTTTTTCGCATACTGGAACCTTTGCTGGAAAGCCTCAGGTGACAACTTATAATGTCTTGAGAGAACTTCCTTAACCTTGTCATAGCTCTCAAACGCTTCCCTTGTCAAGCACGTGATCACGCCGGATACTTCGCCGGGAGTAGAGCTAACAGGTTCTGCACCCAAAGAGACTGCTCCGAGGCATTGCGCTCACAGACGTGTTCGAACTTGAGATAATTCGCCATGTCCTTGCCTACCACGAACAGGGGCAGTTGGTCCCAAACTCTATGACCGCTGACCTCAACTGTCGCAGAAGATATGCTAGGCGCTTGCGAACACTGTAGGACTGCCAATTCTATTCCTTTCAACTCGAGGCGCTCTCGCCTTCTGGCCTCCTTGCTGCGTGCTTCGATATCCACCCAGGCCACATTGATTCCCTCAGCCGCATTTCCTCCTTTCTTCACGATCTCAAGGATCATTTGCCTTCGTTCCACACAGTGCAGAGTAAGACCGAGTTCCTCACAAACTTCGACGAGTTTCTTCACTTTAAGGTTCTCTATCGTTCACACTAGCCTCTTGCTCTTTGCCTTGTTTAGAATCTACTTGCCATACCCACTATATATGTACTAGCAAGATGCGCAAGCAATTTTCAACACTGCCGTGTTTACACTCTCCGCATTAACTTTGGTTTCAAAGCACTCCGACTTAGCTTGAGACAATCAAAGCTTTCTCCAATTCTTCACACAGCCCTTTTCTAAATTACCATAAGCTGTGCTAGAGCAGTCTGATGAAATGAGGGGAAAACATCAGGCACTCATCGCATCCAGGTAGCCGATGCCGGCCAATCACGCAGCTGCCATACACTGATGGGAAACGCGTGTTTCAGCTCATGGCTGCTTCTGCAAAAAGCTGATAGATGGAGCAGACAAGGCGACGGTGAGTTAAGGCAACATTTATGTGCAGCATAAATAGAGGCGTTACATAGTCAGCACTGGGGCCGACAGCTTAATGAGCTTTCACTCAGGTGTGACGAAGGGCCGGGATGTCTTTGGACGCTCTGATGCTATTGTGTGCTCTTTGTCGTCTCATCGCTCGGTTATTTTATAGACCCTGGGTAGCCTTACGTCAGCAGCCTCCAATCAGGAACCGCAGTTGAATTGCACCCATGGGCGAGCCGTATCGCCACGCGTTTCGTAAGACACACGTTGACTGCATCATTGGGCTGGAATGGGACCCATGGGTGAAGGGAGCTTGCCATGCATTGCACACGACACACGGTTGCCGATGATTGCATGAGCCGGGCTCGCTCGCTGGTTTTGACGCTGGTTGCTTTTGCAGAAGCAATGAAGTTCGGTTTGGACTCCAAGGCATAACAATGTACACTCTCGACAACGTAAGGGCAGATCAGGTGGCGAGTGTCCGTTTAGCGATCTCTCATAGAACACCCTGTCTATCTTGCATAGAAGCAGCTGCGGCTGAAAGGAACCTTATACACCACACCTGTACGGCAATCAGTGAATATGTTGGCATGTTTCGCGATACAAATGTCGGTCTGCTTCTTGTCTACGAGCCACCCATCCTTTCTTTGTACAGCAGCACAAATCTTAACAAGCTTACTGGCAGCTGCAAAAAGAACATGTACCTCCAACTTTCTTTAGCCTGCAAGATATGTAATAAATTTAAAGAATACTGACAACACACTTTTTCTTATTGCTTTCAGCAACCATGCTCAAACTAAGCATTCAGTGACAGTAGCCACAACTATGCAGATAAGGTTTTGTGCCTTCTTTCTTTTTTGGCATTATGCTGCTTTGCAGTTGTTAGTTGGTGTTTGTAGTGTCTTGCATCTGTGCTTGCACGCCCCCTTTCTTAAACCTGAATACTCAAACCACCATGCCATAGCTGAGATTGCTGGAAGCATGCTCTTCAAGAAATGATATCTAAAGCCTGGATATCGAAAAGCACCGTGGTACAGACAAGAAATAATGAAAGAAAATGCATGGAAGTAGATGCTGTAATACAATCTGCAAAAGCTTTCTTTATTTGCTTAAAAACACATATTTCTAACAACAGCTGTGTGCAAACATCTAGGAACCTATAAATATGACAACAATAGTACTACTGCAAATTGTGAGAATACCATTACCGCGAAACACTAGCAGGTATTGCGGCTTCAATCTTGGCCCTCATTTTGTTGCACTAACTGCTGCTGAAAAACAAAACTGCCGAGCATGTCCAATAGGTGCGTTTAAGAGAATATTACTTGTTATGCTTAGCCTATCACATGTTATGCCTTTGAAATATATAAATCACGATTCTCAGTTGCCCAGTGAAGCAAGCACATTACACATGCCACAATTGGTCAGTGACAGCCACAGCTATGCAAAAACTTTAATTACTCCTTGCCAATAAGAAAGCGTTGAATATATAAAAGATGACACTGAAGGCTGTGCAAGAGGGCATCTAGACATTTATACATCGCTGTCAAAATTTTTCTATGTACAAGAAAAAAAAAGAGAAAAAGAAAAAAACTTGTAATGCAAAGGAAACTTGTAAGGAAAGCCAACTCCTCCAGCATGGTTCCATGATTTTGAGTTTCCAGAAGTGCTTCATCTGGTTGCAGCATTAGAGATGCAGTGCTGCTGCCCTTCGGAAGATCAAGCTTGGGTTGCTCTTGACACAAGGGAAAGAAGAAAAAAAAGAGAAGCTGTGCACCAGTTGAATGGGATTGTCCATGCAGCTTCAGGTGATGTGTGCAAACGTTGACGAACGCACACACGTTGATCACAGCTGCCTCAGCTTGGCAAGGCGTTGTGTTAGCTCGTCCTGTGAGACAAGATGACATGTTTGTAGATGAATCAACACTGATGAGAAAGAGGATGGATAAAAAATAAAGGACCACAGATGTTTTAGTGAAAGTCAAAGCCCTCACACAAAGAAGCTGACATGTAGTGCTCACGGAGTTGGCACATAGCCAGAAATTTTTTTCGGGAAAATCGCCTTAATATGGCGATTTTCAGTCTCTATGCCACGGCAAAAAATTTCCGGAGTGGGGGGGGGGGGGGGGGGCGTGTGCTATGTGTGATTTCTGAAGATGACCACACCACATTGCTGTGATGCTGGCCACTAGAGGCAATGATGGGGCCCTGATGCGTAGAACTTAGGCTGATATGGCAGAAAACTGAAGTCAGTGTAAATGAAAGTCGAGGTGTTACTTATCCTTAAATTGCCCTATTTCGCTCTGTGAGCAATGCACATTATGAGATGTTCACGCGTGGTAGCATCAATTAACCTGTGACCCAAGAAACCAAGACATGCCCCGAGCCAGCTGGGAAGTGCATGAAGGAGACACAGGACGAGGTGTCTAATTGATACTGGAGCTACTCAAACTTTTTTCCTTTCGATTTTGTTTTTACGAAGCAGGGTGTAAGCTCGAGTGCCATGAGGACTATGCTTTCACACATGTTACAAACATTGCCACAATTCCTAGCAGTGTGAGAAGCCAAATCCAATACACAACTTCACAAGAATTAGTTGGTTTATAATTAGAGTAAAGAAAGTAGCAGAGCGAAAAAAACAAGGATGACAAAGGTGCAAAGACCATGGGAGTGACAAGACAAGTGCTGTCAGAATCAAAATATAGCACTTGACCCATGGTTTTTCTTTTTTAGGGGCAAAGCTCCTTTTAGTCTAACCTTGTCACTGGTCAAGTGTAACTGAAAGAAAACGAGAAGAAAAAGAAAAGAAGGCAAAAGAAATAGATGACCATTTTTCATCTCTTTTCGTAGATGGCGTTACTCTGCTGTGACTCTCCGACTGGATGTGCGTGCTTAGCCTGAGTGTGAGGAGAACGCGTGCCTCTTTCAGGCTCCTAGATAGTCGCCGGACGTGGTGGGTCCTTCGTGGGACATGGATGAAGCAGAGCAGCGGGCACGTTTAACACGCTGATGCTTGGCTTCCCTCTTGTCGGTGTTTCCTGCGCCCCGTCTGCATTCTCCGATGCGATTGGCGATGCATGGACGCGTGCACGGACGGATGGATGGACGGATGCTTCGCCCCACTCATCATCATTCACTCGGTAGATATGCTGTTACTTTTTTTGTCACTGTTTCCTTTTTCCTTTTGTTCCGTTACTTTACTCCCACCGAATATAACCGCTCCGTGTTTCCGTTCAGAAGTGTTTCAAGGACAGGCTTTGTAAGTGTTATAACAGCCAGCTTACGTCGGAAGAGCATCGGTTCACTCCAACTGGGAGCACCAAAAGTGCTAGCCAGCTGGTGAACTGGATCGTGGCTGCACAGGATGAAATTTCGGCTGAGGTAATCATCTGGGCATTCTGAAAGCGCACCTTTCTTAACGTGCTAGACAAAAGTAAGAACGATGCTCTTTGAGAAAGAAAACTTGTAAAGAGAGGCGACAGCATTGTCGTGAATGACAATGACTAGTGAACCTTCAAAATGCCAACGATGTGTGCACTGCATTATAAAATGCATCCGTTCCTATCAATCAAAAGACCTGCAAGCCAAAACGAGTCTTACATGTCGTTACTAGGTTGGAATAACAACATTTCTGGATCATTCAAACTAACGAAAAAATGAGAAGCAAGTGGGCGTACCTGTTCTGTTGAGGCTGCTGTCGACTGGCCGATAGTGCTGTTCACACCCTGGGGCAGCTCCATGTTCAACTCCAGGCTGCATAAAAGTGAAAACAGACCACAATATCATTGCTGTTGGAATTAACCGCACAATAGTGCACAAAAAAAGGAGGACTGAACCGAAGCCACTTTGAACATAACTGCTTCCCACATCACACCATTTGAAACAACGAAACGAAACTTTAGAATAATGAACAGAAGAAAAAACAAAAAGTACTACACAGAGCACCATAAACAAAAAAATAGGCTAATTTGTAGCCAATAAAAGTTTAAAAAGTGGTCCCTTAAGGGGGGACACGGGTTGTGGAGATAGAAAACTCGCGAAAAAAACTCGTTTTTTTTATTGAGTTTTTGAAATCTACAGCTACTAGTGCACTTATACCGTGAACTTCATGCCTATAATATCATTATTTTAGGCACTAAGACCCATTATACGGAGCTTTCTAGCTAAATCTAGTCTTTCGCCTTCGAATTCCTGCCAGAATGGGTCAAATTCAACCATTGGCAGCTTGTAAAATGAGTGGCAAAAAAAAAATATCAGAGCGCCGTCCTATTCACTACCTCGCGCACGTGACTTGAGCTTGCCTCCCCATTGGTGGAGGCTCCTGGCTTTGTCTCCTCCAAGTATTGAGGCGCCCGGCCATGCGCGCCATTTTGCCTAGTGTCAGTGGAGAGTTTTGCCTCAGTGTCAGCAGAGAACACAAAGGCCCTGGCCTTGAGAGTCTTGGGGGAAAGGGCCGCTTGACACGAGACCTGATCTCCAAGCTCAGCAATTATTATGGGTGGGCTCTGAAGGCATACAGTGGTGATGTTGATGCTGTGCACGCAGCAGTGATGGCCACTTATCATCACATCACATTCAATGATCATGTGGCAAAGCACACTCTGTGCCCACCTGGTCCAAATTCCTGTTGCAGCAAAACAAAATGCAGCAAACGCCAAGGGGAGCCCATTCCCAAACATCGTCGAAAGCTGCCTCCACATGTCTGCCAAGCCTTACTTCCCATTTATGAGCGCTTGTTAGGCAGAAAGCTGTTGCAACGATGTCAGCGAGGGAAAACCCAAAATAACAACGAATGCCTGCATTCAATGATCTGGGCGCTGGCACCAAAGGAGCGACACGTTTCCCTCATGATGGAGGCAGCTGTGGCAGGAGCAGTGCTCAAGTTCAATGTAGGCAATAAAAAGGCATCAGAAGACATTATGAAAGAGCTGAGCCTAAACCCCAGCTGGTAAAGCCGCAGCCGCATGGCTGAAAAGGATCGACGACGCACGGCAGCACCAGCCAAGAAGCGACAAGCAACGAAGAACATGCACCAGTCCCTCAAAAAGCGCCACACAGGGACTCATAGTTAAAGGACCACATGCCCGGTGCATACTGAGCATTTTCAAGTGCAGTTATGTAAATGAATGAGTTTTATTTCTTTTTCTCAGTTTTCTGAAAACGAGCTTTTTGGTGACTTTACTAGTTTGTCGGGTTGATATCTTGCAATCTAGAACAGCTAGAGCAATAATTTTTTCATTAACGTAAAGCCCAATCTGTGTATTACAAAGTGCTGAGAGCAGAATTTTCATTTGCTGCCCATATGAATTTAGAAGGTATTAAATTTCCTTGTAGGTGATAGCAATGACAAGACTCCTCAGCTTTCATCATCTGCAGAATCACTAGTTTTTCTTTAATTTGAAATCTGCTTGCAGCATTGCACTTACTGCTAATTGCACTGTCTAGCTATGCAATAATATTTACTTTTTGATAAGCACTTTCTTTTCTATTGTCTTTGAAAACAATAGAGTGGCAGCATTACGTATCTTCTAATTGACCTACAATGAAAATTTTTGCATATTTGAAATCAGCAGGAGAAACTACATAAGCATGTAAATTTTCATCATGTTTGCTCCACAAATACAGAAAATATCTCCTCACACCATGTCCCCCCTTAACTTCGCCTTTAGAAGCTCAGTGCGATAGTGACATGCGTACACGTACAGGTACGCTATCAGCCCATAATCCGTAGCCTGTCCTCACTTCTCAGTGGAGACCTAAACTGTGCCGCAAAAAAAGCGAAAGTGTGAATGCCCTCCAGGTCTTATCTTTATCTGCATCTGTCTTGAATTTTTGCCCATGGCCCATGCCCCCGCTTTTCACTCTCTACTAAAGGTGCCGTCACCAAAAGTGACACCGCAGTGTCTGTGAAACAAGCCCTTCGAGGTTGTGACGATAGGACTTATCAACAGTGTGGATAAAGGGGTGGCTAAATTTCATTCAGTCGAGCACTCAAAGGGCAACATCAGCATCCGATGATGAAGGCAGCAATCTGCTTGAATTCTTTGGGTGGTAACTATTAGAAAAAAAAAAGTATGTGCACAAAAAGTTCATCGAGGAGCCTATCAGGCAAGCACCAACTTACGACCCGACGTGTTTTAGTAATCTAAACTATATATTTATATATATAAAAAAACTAGTGCAATCATCTTTTCATGGGCTCGGAGATATTGGATGGCTTCATGCAGTGTGTCTCAAGATGTGGCGCTGCCCTTTCATTTTTAGCTCCAGTTAGAATAGATCTGTGATACATAAAACACGCTCCATGTAGTGATGGTGTGCAGTGTATGAGGGCCGAAGCAAACTTCACTACTGTAATATATCGACACATGTTTACAGCCACGTCCAAAAGCTTGAAAGATACCCTGGTACTTACTCTGGCAGTGCTGCAACTGCCGCGTTACGTATGTGTCTGACTTCATGGTCGCAGTATTCGCTATAAACACAAATTATTACAATGAAAATGTGCTTTTATCAGCCAGAGAGGAAAAGAGCAAATTAGCATTTGTCGCAACAACAAAGGCAGGCTACACACATCTGAAAAGTAATTTTCGCCTTATAATGTGAAATAATAAAATTTTCCCGCCAAAGGCAGCACAGGCCAACCAGAACTTAAAAAACGTAGCATTTTTCCCTTCAAAACATCCTGGCATACTTTCCCTTCAAACGTCCTGGCATGCATCAACATGATGCCATTAATTTTCATTCGCAATGCAGTCAAATTCTTAACACCCATTTTTCACCCTGGGAGCACGAAACAGCTGTACTTGCAACAACCAACAACAGGAGGTGTTTACCCTTGCAACAATTTTAGAAAGTCTTGAACCTTCTCAAGTATGTTAATGTTGAACAGCGGCGCCCAGCAGGACATTAACTAGCTATTACTAGCTATTTGTTCTGCTTCTTTATTGCATTCAACATTCTTCTGAGATTGTGTTTCGAAGTGCTGCAGTATGTAAACGAAACAAAAATAGGCGAATAAAAGAAAGTATTCGTAGCTTAACAAATCTGGCAATAAACACGGTACCCGGCGAAAACGAAATCTGCAGGAGCATACAGATGAGGCTATCGCAATAAAATTTACAGCAGAAGGTTCATCATGAACCACGTTAACTGTGTGTACACTGTGCTTGCAAAAAAGTTATTCAGAGCAAAAGGTAGCTAAGGGAAGACACAGGAGTTGCAGATATCCTAGCAGAAATAAAGCAAAAAAAATAATAAAAGGGGGGAAGGGAACCTGGGCTGGTCATGTAATACATAGAACAGACAACCGACAGACAGTAAGAGCAACCAAATGACTATGATGAGATAGAGATCGCAGCTGCAGAAGGCCGAGGCTTAGATGTAGTGAAGAAATTAAGAAGTCAGCTCGGATAACATGGAATCAGTTCACACAGAATAGGGTAAACTGAAGATCATTGGAAGAGGCCTTCACTCTGCAGTTATCTAAAACAGGCTTAGAATGACGATGATAGCACTGTAGCATAACGTTATGGTGAAATATTTTCCTGTGAACATGTTGCAAAATGGATATGAGCTGTGCGGGAGGCCAGCTTAGCCACCTGTTGATCAGTTTCACAATTTGATGAGATTTTTTTTTTGTGGCATGATGACCCATCTGTATAAGTGACATATGAACATATACTTTTACAGTGATAGAAATTTCAGTTACAGTCTCAAATGCAAGTACCTGTTTTGATGTTGCCACTGATGCTACTGACAGCCTTGTCACTCCTCACATGATAAGCTATGAAAAAAATAGGGGCCTCCCTTCAACCTTAACAAACAATCATTTATTTATTAAGCATCATTTGCTAAAAGCGAGTAAATCACATGACTACAAACTTATCCTGCTTGTACATAAACATAATCTGTCAAATGAGACACATGAAACATTTGGACGGTATTCGCTACGTAAAAAACAGATACCAGTACCACGAATGTGCACAACATATGGTATGTCGACCCTAACTTATCAGATACCCGGCTTAATAAATCATGTGTATTCTCAAATGAACTTTGATGTTCCACTACCTAAGTTTAAAGACCAAATAACATTTTTCCTTTTGAATAATTCTCCAGCCAATACAACATGAGCTCATTGATGTCACAACGCCATTGTTTCTTCTATTGTTCTATTTTTTTATGCAACCAGAGTGGCATACGTTTACATTACCTGAATGTGTATTTTTGTTCTAATATGATTTCAAGTTTTACTTTGATTGTGTATCTTCATGCATGTAGTGTACGTCTACCTGCACCCGTGCTGTTTTATTGTATGTTCCCTCAGGTCCCTTCAAGCTGTTTTTGACAGCTTTTTGCCTGGGGGCACCCCAACATTTTTGTGTCGGAAAATAAAGTTCCGAGTTCAAACCTCTCAACCGCTTTGTTTTTTTAGTTCTTTCCTGTCTAAAAAAAATTTTTTTTCAGCTTGATATTGAATTTGGCAAATATATTATATGAACTAATAAAAGTAAACTCCAGTATCTAAATAATTAGTGCTCTTAGTTCTGTACAATCAGGAAAGGCATCTTTTCCGCGACGACACATCAGCAACGCACACGATGACTTTACTGAAGAATTTTTGAACACAAGTCGTGCAAAAACTGTGAAATGGCAGTCAAAATGCGAAAATACGTTGCCGAGAAAGTGCTACCACCTATGAAGCGGCACACAAACTATCTTCAAAACAAGTGAGTCTCGTTCACAATCCT